TGTGAGATCATAACCTGAGCTAAAATAGGACACTTAACTAACTGAGCCACCCAGGCACCCTGGAAATGAAAATATTTTAAAATTACCTGTGATGTTGGTTGCACATATCTATGCATGTACTAAAAATAATTGAATTGTACACTGTATATGGAATGTGAATTATTTCCCAATAAATCCGGGTTGTTGTTTTTAAATAATCTCTTCCCCCAACATGCAGCTCAAACTCACAACCCCAAGATCAAGAGTCCCATGCTCTACTGATTGAGCCAGCCAGGTGCCCCAAATCTGTTTTATTTTTTAAAAAGCGATTTATAAGCCATACAAAAAAAAAAAAAAAAAGGTATTAACCTATTACTTTATGGTACTACCCAATTTTTTTAGATAAAGAATAGTATTATCCAGATTGTTTATTTACTTATTTCAGAAGTTTGGTTCCAGCTGACTTTTAGCTATTTTTAGAAATCAAATCTATCAAGTGGTGAACATTTGCTGACTATGACAGTATCCAAAATAATGACCAGAGGTCATGAGTGAACTTCCCAGAGGAAAGTTCCCAAAGTTTTTACTTTCATCTGAGAAATAAATGGATTAGGGGTGCCTGGCTGGCTCAGGCAGTTAAGCGACTGGCTTTGGCTTGGGTCATGATCTCATAGTTCATGAGTTTGAGCCCCACATCAGACTCTCTTCTGTCAGCACAGAGCTGGCTTTGGATCCTCTGTCTCCCTTTCTCTCTTTTTTTCCCCCACATGTGCATTCTTTCTCTCTCAAAAATAAATTAACATTTCAAAAAGAGAAATAAATGGATTATCTCTTTAGATAACTTCAGAAAGGGCAACTCTTTTTTTTTTTTTTTCAACATTTATTTATTTTTGGGACAGAGAGAGACAGAGCATGAACAGGGGAGGGGCAGAGAGAGAGGGAGACACAGAATCAGGAACAGGCTCCAGGCTCTGAGCCATCAGCCCAGAGCCTGACACGGGGCTCGAACTCACAGACCTCGAGATCGTGACCTGGCTGAAATCGGACGCTTAACCGACTGCGCCACCCAGGCGCCCCAGAAAGGGCAACTCTTATTTGGAGCTATATATTCTGGTATGTGTGTTTTTTTTTTTTAAAAAAGCCAGATTTCACATATCTATGCATACGTTAGTATATGCATATACTTTGCCATGGGTAAAATATTTAATATGTGTGTGCTCAATCTTTGATTTGTAACAGAAAAGTAGAAAGAAAAGGAAGTGGATTTTTCCCCATTCATTCATTCAGCATTTATTGGGCTCCTAATATATGGTACAAAAATCATAAGACAATTTTTGAAGGAAAAGCCCTTATCAGGTAATCTGTAAACTCCTGAATCCAGACCAAAGGATAGAGATCAAATAATATATTAATGCTTAAGAGCAAACTTTGCAGGATAGTCAACAGAGACTAGTGTTCCCCTGGAAAAGTTAGCAAATATTTTTTAAAGCTCCCAGAAGCCATACCACCAAAGGTCGTATAACTAATTGTCTCGGCAATAACATGTATAGTTGCTGTTGACCTACAAAGAGGAATCTATCTTTAGTTCTTCCCATGGTTTTAGGCCCTCTAATGCTAAGTACCCTGTAACTTTTATTAAAATGGTTCCTGTTGGCCCTATTAACTGATTACAACTGCATAATAATACAACAGGAGAGGATGTTATAGGTGTTGGTAGATTCTTGGAAATCCTGTCCAGTGTGCTAATGATCTATGGGTAAAAGAAGTTACTTGTCTATTTCTATAGAATTATTTTAGGTTTTTGTCATTTTTCTTTCTGCTAAAAATGTACTAAGTAAGAAAAGTCATAATAACTAGCTAACTAATTGCCTCCCCCACTGATATTCAACTTCTATAGCAACTGGGTTCGAGTAGCAACTTTGCCAGAAAATGGTTTCTGTGAACTCAGATGAAACTCTAATGATACCACCACATAAGAGAAAAACTGCCACCATCATATAAAAAGAGTTAACGCAGAGCAAATTGTTATCTAAGAGAGGCCCTTTCAACCTTGCCAGCAATGGTGTTTTCAAAAGTTTGCAAGTGACCATTTTATCTGGCATTGTTTGAATGTTCAGATGCCCCCCAGAAGGACAGATAGCATTTTTTCTAACCTTGAAATAGACATTCAATGGAAATAGGAAATAATGAGATTTGTCTGTACATTTCTACTAATATACCAGCTGTCACCAATGGCTAATACATTCAACCAACATTTAGCTCCTTGCTCAACTTGAATCCTCAACCCATCTATTAGTTTGTATTGGTGAAACAGTTTGTATTAGATAATAGTGTTCATTGTTTTGGGGGAAACTTATTTATTTACAGAGTTAAAATATACTTGGATTCATACCTCTTGGTAACTATTGGTTACATCACCCTTTTATGTTTACATGTACATTTATTTTTAAATATTTATTTATTTATTTATTTATTTATTTATTTATTTATTTATTCATCAGAACAAGAGAGAGAACACAGTCTGGGAGGAGCAAGGCAGGGCAGGGAGAAGGAATCCCAAGCAGGCTCCACTCAGCACAGAGCCCAACACGAGGCTTGGTCTCACAAACATTGAGATCATGACTTGAGCTAAAATCAAGAGTTGAACATTTAACCAAATGAACCACTCAGGTGCCCCTATGTGTACATTTATAAAATACACAAAATAATACCCAAAAGAATAAAGAAACCAACATTTGTTGCAAACATACCACATGCTAGATACTGTGCTTGATATTTCATTTTAATCTTCAAAAATACTGTATAGTCAATAAGATTCCCATTTTACAGACAAGCAACCAAGTCACTGAGTCTGTGACTTTTGACAAATGGTGGTACAAGGATTCAAATTGAAGTAGAAATCTAAAATCCTTATAAGTTTCAAGATCCTACATGCACACCTCTCCCCACTCCTTATATCTTGGATCTCATCATCTCTACTCCTTCACTCTGCTCCAAATCTACAAGCCTGATCCTGTGTCAGGGCCTTTGCAGTGGCTGTTCCTTCAGCCTAAAACCCTTCCCCTCGTGTGTAAATGGCTTATCCCCTTACCTTCTCACATCTTGACCCCAATGCCACCTTCTCAGTGAGGTTTCTCCCAATCATCCTATTTAAAACACTCTCCACTCTCTACTCTCAATCTTTCTTACCCTGCTGTTTTCTTTTCCTGTGGCATTTTCACCGTAGAATGTTAGCTTTTTTGTCTGTTGTGCTCGCTAGAGTGTATGCTCCACTAAGATCTTTTTTAAATACAGTTGACACACAATGTTATATTAATTTCAGGTGTACAACATAGTTATTCAGCAAGTTTATACATTATACTATCTTCACCACAAGTATAACTACCATCTGTACCAATACATTGCCCTTACAATATCACTGACTGTATTCTCTATGCTGTGTCTTTTATTCCTATAACTTATTTATTCCATAACTGAAAGCCTGTATCTTCCACTCCCCTTCACTCCTTTTGCCCCTCCCTTCACCCTCATGTTTGTTTTCTGTATTTATAGGTCTGATTGTGCTTTGTGTTTATTTATTTGTTTTGTTTTTCAAATTCTACTTATGAGTAAAATCATATAGTATTTGCCTTTCATGTCTAAGTTATTTCACTTAGCATAATACTTTCTAGGTCTTCCATCCGTGTTGTCTCAAGTGGCATGACCTCTTCCCTTTTTTATGGCTGTGTAATATGTGTGTGTGCATGTGTGTGTGTGTGTGTTTGAGAGAGAGAGAGAGAGAGAGAGAGAGAATGCATATGGGGGAGAGAAAGAGACAGAGAGGGAGAGAGGGAGAAGGGGAATGATATCTCTTTGCTAGTCACCCACATGCTTGGTGAATGAGCCATGGTGCTAGGCAAGCATGTAGACAGAAAACCCAGGGAGGAGCAAAGGAGCTCTTTCCTCCTCTGCCTACTTGTAGCCTCCTAGGCCCAAAGAAGAGGTCCATACTCTGTTTGGAATTTACAGTCTTGAGGGACAAAAGATAAATCTAAGCTTGGATTATGTTGCTAGACGGTTAAAATTCAGAATTTCATAATGAACAGTCACAAGGCTTAATGGATTTTGTGCTATGCTCTTACCATTGGATATTTGTTGAAATTCAACGTGGAACTAATTAATCTCTGAAAGCCATCTTAAACTTTCTAATAACCCGTAAGCCTGCTGGAAAAAAGGCAATGGCAGAAACCAGGTTCTTATCATTTTCATTGGCATAGTTCTTCATAGGATTGAAATGAACTCACTTTTTTTCACTTTATTAAAAATATTTTTTGGCTGACTCAGTATACGATAAGGAAAAATAGCTAGATACAAAACCTTGAAAACAGTTAAACAAGTAAACAAAAAAAATGTTTTATGCGCAAGCTACCTTACTGCTTCTTCACTTTTTTCAACGTGTGCATGCATGTGTGTGTGTGTGTATCATTATATACTGGAAATTTGGTAAGTTGTTACTTCTAAATTGTAAGATCCAGGGTGATTTGTATTTTTTATATATGTCTACATATTTTTCAAATTCTCTACCACAAATGTGTATTATTTTTATAATCACAAGAGCAATTAATTGTACACGTAATATTTAGACGTTTTACATCATTTTCTTTGAATATCTATCAGAGGTATTCCCTGTATTAATTATGTTGTTTTAAATCTATTTGCTTTCTCTTAAAGCCTGCTGTGATGCTAACAGCAGTAGAAGTATTTTACCAATTAAAAGACTCTAAGATTTTTCCACACCAAAAAAGATATTTTAAAAACCACAAAACCATTTTTTCAGTGATTTTTTTCCCTCAAGTAATAATGAAAATGCATATCCACACACACAATATATTTTTTAAGCTTTGGAGAACGGACCCATAGCAAATACTCTCTGCCTCCACCTCCCACCTCCCCATATATTCACCTACTCCATATATTTGTTTCATTTTTAAAAATATTTACCAAAGATCCTGAAGTGACATCTAAACTGCTTGTCTCCTTAGCTTATAGATAAAGAAAACAAAGATCCAGCTGGGACAGACTCGAATGGATGCACCTACTTTCATGCCCAGGCTTTCAGAGGAGGTAAAACACATACCTAATCCTTCCAATAGATTCCAGAAAGAATGTGGATGACACTTCTCTTCATCTTTTTTTTTTTCCTTATACAAATTTAATACTTTGATCGCTTATAACCAAAAACACTATTTAAAGAAACAGAACAGGTCACCTTTATTATATACAGCACAGTTAGCAAGATACTACCTTGAGTAGCTGTTTAAAGGGATCACACTTCAAAAGATAATTGACCTAAATTCTCCTTCCTGCTCTGCACTCTGGTGAGTCTTGCCCATGTGCAGCCCTCCTATGCATCTCACACATGGAAGAGATACAGTAGGGTCCTGAGAAGCATGAGAATAGAGGCCACTGTGATTCAAACTAATTCAAACATTATTTTAATGCCTGTGTTTAGTTTGCTAAAAATTCTCAACTTCAGGGGGTGTGCAAGGGCTGACAGCTCCAGTCTGGAATATATCCGAAGTTGATTTATAGAGAAGAACACTTTAAAGTGATTACACCTGTTCTGGTCCCATTTGGTTTGGGTATGATGAAATGGAATTCTTTGTCTCTACTTTCAGAGTATTGGTTATGATTTGAATTATGGACAACATTATAAAACACACATATCTCAAGGAAGAAACTACCTTGAGAAGCCTAATGTTACCTAATTTCTTTTGTGAATCTCATAAAGAGTATTAGTGTAAAAACTTTCTTTTGGTAGATGTTCACTAATTCCATCACATTATCTGGCAATGTTCACTTTCCAGGTCCATTTTATTGCTTTGCCCCCATGATATATTTTAAATTGTAAATTTAAAAGATATCTGCTAGGAATATTCTTAGGATAGTTATGCAGTTGGTTCTTTACAACATGTAAGAACACTAATTTGTTGGAGAAATCCTGTCAGCATCAATGAACTATTGTTCTGAACATCTTTTGAACAAATTGGAATCAACAAACATCTTGGGTACATGAACTTACTGGAGTGTTTTTGTGGCTTTCTCCCATTGTTTTGGAAAACATTCTTATTGCTACCGTTTTAGAACACTTCCAGAAGCAGACTTGGCATTGAAGTTCTTATTCATATATAAAGCTCTGACCCATATGTCACAGATTACAACTTTCTGCTTCATACATGGTGGACCAAGGCAGATGTTAATTTGGAAGATTTTTGTATTACGTGAGGTTGTGTGCTAGCAAACAAAGGCATGGGAGCCAGATTCCTAACTAGTACTCATATTTCTGATATGTATCTTTGTATTAGCAACTGCTTCCATTGTGTATTTCTCAAACATTGCCCTTTAAATTATAAAAATAAACAGAATAAAAAATAGAAAGAGATATATATGCTAAACTTCTGATACATAAAGACTGGAGAAGCCAAAATGAAGATGAAATCGGGAGACAGCTAAGGAAAGGAAACAAAATCAAGCTCCTTAGAGCCTAAGATTATATGAATATGAGCAAAAACCCATATGAAGTCACTTAATAAATGAGGTCAAGAATGCTGAATAATTTAACATACATGGATCTTCATTTGTGATTGTCCAAAACTAATATTTCACAAGCCACATTGTACCCTGTCACAGACCCCTATTTGTCCCTCAAGATAATGCCCAACGATTAGTGGACCCAGTTTGGTAGAAATAACCTAATTGGTTGCAGTCACTTCAACTTGAATGTGACATTTTGGACTATTCTGTAGTCACAAGGATAAGTTAGGAGCTTGGGCAGCAGAGTTGCTCTTTGTGATAATTGTAGCTGAAGCTTGTGTTATCACTGAAGCTTATTATTTTGCAAGTTGTACACTCAGCTTTTTGTAAAAATTGACTGTAAGGAAAAATCCCTGAGGAAGCTTCTTTTCTCTACTGGTTCTTCTAACACCCCAGAGGAGAATGACCAAACAAAATGCTATGTGATTGTATTTAAGTGCACTTAACTACATGCCACCTGATAAAATAACTTAGTACCATGAATTAAACAGTTTCTTAAGTCTCTGTGTTCTTTAGGTTTTATGCTTATTCAGCTAACTGAATTACTGCTAGTGATGACATTAGTTAAGAGCACTCATCCTGTCTTGGGGAAATTGTTTACCTACCTTTTCATCAGCAGGTAAATGAGGAATAAGAGGTCTGCTTCCTGCTAGCATTGTCATTGGCCTCCATGCTGTGCCTAAGCATCGTGCCTATGAAGACAGTAAGCTCATTCCTACATAGGATGAGTACATCAAACAGTAGACGTCTTTCTCTGGTTAGTAATTCTTTGTATTTTCATGTTTTGTAGTTTCAGAAAAGACACATCTTCCCCACCTGCCCCCTCTCTCTCTTCCTTACCTCCTTCCTTCTATATTTATTGAATAAATAAGATGATCCAGGCCCTGTGCTAGACATTGAGGATACACAGATAAATGAAATATAGTCTCTGTCTTCAAGGGACTCTTTGGTAAGTAAGAGAAATAAGAATAACCACTTAATTATAATCCTTTGCAATGAGTGCTCTGACCATGTGTACTATAGAAAATGCCAGAAGTCAGGAGGCTGCAAAGAGAAAGTGACTTTGGGGCCAGGTCTTAAAAGATGAACAGACATTTACAACTGAAGAAGAGGGCATGATAAAAGGGGCTTGGAGGAGCTGTTGCCTCAAGCAGAAGGGACAGCAGGTGTGAGGACATCAAGGTGCGAAGTAGGTGGCTAATATGACAGGTGAGGCCAGATCAAAAAGAATCTTATGTGGGTTTGTGAAATAACAGAAAAAATATATATATTGGTCTCTGCCCTTGGTTCCTGGCACAGAGTTCCTAAATCCCCTGAAATTTCCTGGGTTATATGAATGTCTTTTGTTCTAATGAAATGACTCTTGGTGGGTTCATGGACAGATTCAGGTTAGGTGCTTGGTCATCAGAGAGACCAAGCCATGATGAGAAGCTTGGAATTGTCAGCCCCACCTCCCATCCTCCAGGACATTGAGTTAATAATTGGTTGCTCATGCATACGTGATGAAACTACTGTAAAAATCCTAAAGGCGTGGGGTTCAGAGAGCTTCCAGGTTGGTGACCACATCTCTGTGCTGGGACAGTAGCGCCTACCAACTCCATGGGAACAGCAGCTCCTGCACTTAGGACATTTCCAGACCTCACCCTCTCTATATCTTCATCTGGCTGTTCATCTGTATTCTTTATAATGTCCTTTATTGTATAATAAAATGGTAAATGTAAGTCAGTGTTTCTCTATGTTCTGTGAGCTAGTCTAGCAAATGATTGGACCTGAGGAAGGGGGTGATGCGAACCTACAAATTGTAGCCATATTCGACAGATACTGTGAGTAATCTAGGGACCTGCTACTTGAAATTGGTGTCAGAAATGGGGAACGGTCTTATGGGAGTGAGCCCTTAACCAGTAGGGGCCTGTGCTAATTCTGGCTAGTGTCAAAATTGAATTGAATTATAGGACACTCATCTAGTGTTGGAGAATTATTTGGTGTGAAAAACCTGCACATCTGGTGTTAGAATTGTTTGAGAAGTGTGAGTGTGAAAAAAAAGGAAAACATAGAACAGTTCTCCTCTAGACAGCCTTGTTCAGGTGTCTGAACAAGTCAACAAGCTCCTTTGGGCATAGAGTACACATAGCCTATTTAACACTTCTCCATGCAACAATAATTTTACAGTAATGCTGTTCTTATTTTCCTTTAAATTTTTTAATGTTTATTTCTGAGAGAGAGAGAGTGCAAGGTGGGGCAGAGAGGGGGAGACAGAGGATCCAAAGCAGGCTCTGTGCTGACAGCAGACAGCCCAATGTGGGGCTGGAACCCACAAACTGTGAGATCATGACCTAAGCCAAAGTCAGAAGCTTAACCAACTGAGCCGCCCAGATGTCCCAATGCTCTTCTCCTTTTAGCAACAGTCCGTTACCAAATACTGTTAATATATTTTCCCCAGGCACTGTGTGCTATTAACCAATGGAAACTAATATGACAAACTGTAGTCTCTTCTTTCAACCAATGAGCAGTAGTGTAACACTATAACCAGACTTACCCAATGAGTGCTTTATCATGCTATCCTCAGTTGAGTGTCTTTCCTGCCACTGGTTTTTATTCTGCCATGAACTCTCTTTTCTGCAATATATTTCTGCTCTGAGAAGCAGTGATGATCCATGTGGCTAACAAAAGGTGTGCAAGTTCTAGTGCTAGAGCAAAAAAATAAAAAGTATCATGCTGGGTGTTTGAATACAAGTGCAATAGCAGCTCAAGGGAATTTCAAGGAAATGGAGAGAGAAAAGATCAGCAGACAGACACTTTGGGTGGCAGTTTGACTTTGGGAAGGGCAATATATAGAGCAGGGCATCTTGGGAGGACTACAGGGCACCCGCACAAAACCTGGCTGGAGAGACCTTGGGATCTCAGGGAATTTGGAGGGAACAGAGTGGCCATTGTCAGCATTGCCTTAATACTGAGAACAACTGTCTGTAGAGTCTATGCTTTCAGGACCATGTGCAGCACTAATCCAGATAGTGCACCGCCTGTGCAAATGAGAATAAATGGGGACTTCATAGTTTACTAGGGTATGCCTCTGGAGCCAGGCTGTCTGGGTTTAAAACTCAGCTCCACCATTTTTACCAGCTATATCACCTTGGCTCTTGAATCTTACTGACTTCAGTTTTCCTATCTGTAAAATGGGAGTAAAAATACTACCTACCAAATGAGGCTGTTATGAAAGTAGAACAATATTTATAAAGCACTTAGAACAGTACCTGGCACATATTAAATGCTTGAAAATATTAGCAGTAGTAATAGTAGTAGTAGTTGTTATTATTATTATTATTATTATTATTATTATTATTATTACCACTGTTTAGTTTCTATCTATCAAATGAGGAAAATTAACTAAATGATCCCGGAAGTCCCTCACAATTCTTATTGCCTGAATTTGCCAGTCCCTATTATCCTAGGAGAAAACTGTAACTCAGAGGGTTTGACCACCTACCCCCTCCACCAAGGTTACATGGGGAGTAAGGAATAAGATGCAAAATCCGAATTAGAACCCAAGTCTTCCAGCCCCTAATATTGTGCCTTTTGTGCCCCTCCATGTACCAAAAAATGAACAAAGTATCACCAGCTGGGCGCCTCACTCTTAATCTCTCTGGCAGTTGCATAGCCTCAGGCCACTCTTTTTTTTTTTTTAACCCCTTCCATCCCTCTGCAGATCAAGAGGTGGCAGGCCTGGAAATGAAAAGGGATCTGTTGCATTGGAGGAAATAAAAGTTAGCATCATGTTAGAGTATTTCTCTCAGCATTTATATCTCAAGCACCTGCTGTTGGTCCCCATCATTAGGAGATCGATCACCCTTGCAGGGCAAGTGGTCCACTTTCCACTCAATGCTGCAGTCACTTTTTTTAAAAGCCAAGTCGTTGGATTTGGCCCTTTGTCTTAACTACCTTTTGCTCTTGTTCTATATGGCTGGAATCCTAGTCATACTTGTTCCCCTTCTGGTACAATTATGGCAATTCTGCAAGGGCTCAGTAGAGATGGAAAAGAGAAGGAAGAAGGGGGAGACAGAAGGAGGGGTAAAGATGGGACACATCCCCAGCAAACTGACCTATCTAGTGTCAATCTTGCAAAATTGTGCTTCTATATTTTCTCCTACACTTTTGAAACCTATTTAAAATGTACCAGGGACTCTGGTCTGCCATTCCTAGGAATGATGTCTTCTTTCATTTATTATCTTTCTTTTTCTTGTGTCTGTCCATTTAAGTATTAGAATAATCACTATCCTTTTAACAGCCAAAATATCTGTGCAGGTTTTTAAAAAAATAAGCATTTTTCATTTGAACTGATTTCATCAGAGAAGGTTAATGTGATCATTTTAATTTGCAAAAATTTTTTTCTTCTTTTTATTTGTTCTACATTTGATTTTGAGCACACATTTAATAATTTCTGGTGGTTTGTGTTTCGGCATCAGCTGGGTATGCAGAGTAGGCTCTCCACAGTCTCAGAATTTGATTATGACCAAGCAACCGCTATTCTATAAACACGGAAAATTGGAAATTATCTCTAGAGCTGTTTGTTAACGAAGTCGAAGGCTAACCTTTAGGGCTCATTAAAATTCCACTGATGAAAACTCTCTTGCAGGTCTCTCTTTCATGAATCCATCCCTGTATTGCGAGTGCTGGTGTGTGGAAATTGGTCTGGGCCCTCCCCTTTTGCCCTCCCCTTTAATCTCTTGGTCAGGTTTAGGCAGAGATTTTTAAAGCTTTTTGGATTTCTCTTTCTCCTACTCAAAGTATGTGTTGTGGATCCAAACAAACATGAACAGGTCTCTGAATGTGTAACTGTTACTGAGTCCGACTGACCAGGCAGGCAGTTCTGCTGAATCTGCCTTCCTCCATCAATAAAGCATGAAGTCAATTAGGGGTAATTAAGAGGGGCAAAAAAAGGGATATGTTTTCTGTACCTGAGAGTAGAAATAAGTATGAAGGCAGGGGAGAAAAACGACAAACCTCCAAGTATAATGCACAACCGGTGAAATGCGTTGAGTTATTTTAATGAACCTATTTTAATAAATGACAGCCATTTGAAATACCATCTTATCAAGAGATCCCTGCATGGTAACAGCAGCCACTCTCCTGTCCTGCTGGCGAATAACACCCTCCAAATCCTCCCTAAGTGCTCCAGCATCCACGTGCACAAGAGTATTTGAATTCACTTGGTACATCTCTGTAAGAGAAGGATTCTCTTGATGGCACGTCGTATCACTATTACTGTTGCTAAACAGATGGAATATAATTGTTTATGGAATTTGTGTTTTAATCGCATTAATGTATTTGGCAGGGAGATCCACCTAAGTACACAATGCAAAGCCTGCCTTTGATCTGGGCCCCTTTGGGGCATTTTCCGTGACTGATAAACTGCTCCTCTGAGTTCATAGGCAAATGATAAAAATGATAAAAAGAAAGAAAAGAAGAAGAAAGCCAGGCACCAACCTCCCATTTGGTTATTTGTCTCCTTGGAGAATCAGACAAGCTAGCCAGGCTTGCAGTCATGCTGACGACTCAGCACACATCTTACCCAGTTATACACCCACACAGGGCTCAACACGAATGTCCTCATCTCTCACCACCACCCCCCGCCCCTGTTCTCCAGTTCCCTCCTCCCCTTTGCACACAAACACACACATGCTCAATGCAAGAATTCATATGCTCTATCTTTTCAAAGACTCCTAGTGCCTTTTCATATGGGCTAGTTTAAATGCTTATAAAGTATTTATCAATAATAGCCCTTACACATATTTTCCTTTAATCCTCACACATTTCTTGGTTAGCATTATATTGTGATATGATAGAAATCAGAAGCTTTCTTTTAATGAAAATGAATGTTCTAATTGTGAGATATTTTGTCTACTAACTATTCTCTATAAATTAGCCTGAGGACAGCTGAGGGCAAAACCAGACCCTGTTCACTTGTCTATTTCCCTCTTACCAAGACCCAAAGAACAGAATCTAGGATAGAAAATGTGATAGCCACTGAAAGAAAGGGTTCTATAGATTCCCATTTCCCAAGCACAATCCCCATCTTGCCTCCTCTTGAAATGGTGGATCAGATACTTCCCTCCCTTCTTAGCAGAGAGAGATCTGAGGAGGTTTTAAATTCTTGGATGGATTTTTTTGTTTGTT